GGAAATTAATTACAGTTTTCGAATTTGTCGTGCAATATCCTGCACGATAAACAAATTTTCATTCGAATTCCTGTGTTTTGCTCTGTGTTTTTTTTAATCCCTATAAAATAAATCACTTATATTTTACAGTTATTTCAAAAATATTTAAGCAATGAGGAAAAGACAGCGTAATGAATGAGACTTTAAATCTTGAAGTTTCTTGTTTCTGTCTTCTACTTAAGAAAATACCAGTACTCAGTAACTATTAAAAAATACAACTATCAACTTTTAAAATATTCTTGTAACTTTTAAATGTTCAGAAACTTTGAAAAATTAATCTCTTTCCGTGTTTTGAGTTATTATTTAATATGACGGTTCTTCATATAGTTTATTCGACTTTTAATGAACATCACACGACCAGTATGTTAATAATTCTTTCAAATATATTATTGTTATTAACCATCAGATGTCCAGTTAACATTAAAAATTAAATAATATCCAAACAAAATCAGTTACACTGTAAAAATCACGCCAAGTCCACGTTCATTATACTTACATTTATTTCAAAAACAAATTAATTCTTATCCAAATAATCAGATCCCAGAAAATTATATTAGTAAAGGTTCAAATTTATTTTATCCAATTCAGCAACGTTTCGTTACGTATCGTAACTTCCTCAGGCTTCTAATAACAAACATACATAATATAAATTAAAATTAAAGACTTTTACAACAAAATTTACATCTAAAATAAATTAATAAATTACAAAAATTATACCTTGAAATAAGTTAATTATTTAACACAACTGTCAATATAATAATAAATGTAGCATTACTTTTGGCTAGGTTAGCCATTCGGCTTATCTTATAAAAGCAATTTTTTAACATGACATATATACTTATATAATTATTATTTGTATAGATAATACTTATTAATCACTTAATTAGTATGACTCAATTTCTTATTATAAAACAATATATAAAATATTCATAAATTAACCGAAATCAACATGTGAGTCAAAGTGTCAGTCACCCATGCGTCTACAGTATGTTATGTACAGCTGATTTACTATAGTCAGAATTTATTATGTGATAGTACCAACTTTGTTTCTATGTTGGCTAAAGTGTACTTTAAACTTGCATAGCAAATTAGAATAGATGTTGCTCAAATTTGTTATGTCAGTTCTAAAATTAACTGTGTTATTTATTGATATGAATATCATCTCACTTAGGCAGCGTTTGAATTTTACCCTTTCTCTGTCAAGTATTCTAATATTATCAAAGTCAAACTTATGTCCAGTGTCCATATAATGTACACACAAAGCTGTTTTATCCTTCATCTTATCAGAATTAATGCAACTATATCTATGTTGATATATCCTATTCCCCAAATACTGACTTGCCTGGCCTATGTATGACTGTCCACAGTCACACGGGATTTTATACACCACGTTGGACACCTTCATTTCAGTACTCAGAAAACATCGAGTAATTGACTCCGAAAGACCCTTAATATGCGGGAATCTAAACCTACTATCTTCACGGTAATTATTGTTACTTCTACGATTACCTCCCATCCCGCAATTGTCTTCCATTACGATGTCATTGGCATGCATACTCTTAAACTTATTAATGCAGTTTTTCATGAAAAATTTAGGGAAATTATTTAATTTTAGTATTTTTTCAACTTTAATTAAATTTTCCTCATGGAATGACCTATGGCTTAATTTCATTGCTCTATACAGCAAACCTAATGCCACACTTTGCTTCTGAGATGTTGGGTGGTGTGAGTGAAAATTAAGTAACCTTCCCGAACTAGTAGGTTTTTGATACCAATTTGTTAATAGATTGCCATCCTTAGTTCTCATTATGACCATGTCTAAGAAGGGAATTTTTCCCTCTTTTTCACATTCCAATGTGAACTGAATTTTTGCATGGAATCTATTGAAATACATTAACAAATTGTCTTTCTCATCCTCTGGTACCGCTAATAGTGTGTCATCTACATACAAATATAGCAGCGGGACTGCAAAAGGTAGTGTGCTGATGATCTTCGTCAAAACATAATACATGACTATATTAGCTAGTGATGGACTAAGTGATGGATGCAAAATATACTTAAAAATATTATAATAAATGTATTATATTTACTTTTTATATTTTTGGTACATTTATATTTTAGAATCATAAAATGATGAAACAAAATACTTATTTTGAGAGAACTTAAAATTTCATAATTAAAATTCTAAGAAATTTGGCAAGTTTGTGAAAAAATATTGAATAGTAGCTAAACATTTTAAATTTTTATGATATCAAACTGAAAAAATAAGAATTCAGAATTTTTCGATCAAGATAATAAATAATTATAATTATTGTTTGATTATTAGTAAAAAATGGTTAGATCAATATTTTTTTTCATTTGATTAGAATCTTATCACGCTTCAATTTTTACCAAATTATTTTGCAACTAAAAGACTTTTATGTTACAAATGATAAGAATTAAGTCAGTCAAATATTTATCAAATCAATTTCAACAATTCGTTGTATTAGAATTTTAAGCATTACAATATAAGAAAAAAGAAAAAGAAATTAAATGTCCCATTTTTTTGCAACCGCGAGTTCGGTTGACATATTGCTGACCACAATTGACAAAAAAAAATCACCAAATTCCACATAAAGGCAATTTAATAAAAAATATTGCGGACTTTTTGTGGAGGTCAAATTACTCATGTATAATTCAACGTAGCTTATTAGTGTCAAAATATATTAAAAAAATATCTTGCTTCCTTTTCTTATATTTAATCTGGGAAACCATAAAAAAAACTGTTAAAATTTAAGTGTAAATTAAAATTGATACCTAATATCGACAAGCGGATTGACTAGATCGTAAATTTATTTTTACATGAACTACATTTCATTCCATCCTACATTATTATTTACAAAAAATATATCACAATAATGAAATTAAACGTAATGTTAATTTTGATGTAAATTGACATTTTCATTAATACAATATTGTACTATCATAAATATGTATTATTAAAATCGTGTATGTATTTTAACAGTAAAAAGAAAATCGGAAGATATGAAAAGACTTCGTCCAGCGAAGCGTAGCAAACACAATAAATAGATAAACAAACCAGTCAATGAGCATAATAGTATGTATTATAGTTATGCGGTTGGTATTGAAGTCATGTCTGCCAATAATATCGGAATAAATATTGGATTACAAGCTACACAGTTCGGTTTTATGTTAACGTTAATAAAAGCAAGGAAAATAGGAGCATAGGACAATGATGATACGGTCTATTGCTATTTTACATCTAATATCGATTTGTTAACTTATCGCTTAACAAGTTATGATTAAGGTAATATAAGCGTAAAATCTTTGTGTGGTGAGCTTGTGAAAGGAACTATTGTGAGAGTCTAGCCGACAGGGGGCTCATCAGCGGCGAGGCACTCATCTGTAGCTCTTAATCACTTGCTCACAATCGCACATCAAGTTTTATGTTTTATATCCACCATACACTAAACACTATCACGGAAATTGCAGTGGCGATATCATTAAAAAAATTAATAATCTTATTAAATTTTTTCTTTACGTTCCACTATTTTTTTTTATCAATTTGATTACTATGTAACCTTATTTACTTAAATCTGCTGCTTTATTCTCTGATAGAGTTGCGCGAAAAAAGAGATTATTTATTTTGAGTCTTATATGAAAATATGTTTCTTTATCATTTTTGTTCTTTTGATCTTTATTCTAGTCATTGTATTTTTTAAGTTTGAAATTATGTACATTTAGAAAGTCATAAGTCAAAATTCTAATTTTTGGAAATAACTCATCATTTTTGTACTCTCTAAATCCGAAACAGTGAAAATCACTGGAAATTAGTGGTATATTGAATACTTCACAGTTATAAGTATACCACTTGGTATACTTATAGCTGTGAAACCGTGAAATTCCACTGATTCATTTTAAGAGAGTAGCTTTCAAAGACGCATCATAGATGTTTTTTAAGTAAAATAGAGTAATAATAATAATACAAACTTGTTTTTAATAATATCGCACGTTAGAACACGATAAACCAACATATTTTATAAAAGACCCGGACAAAAAATAGTTGTTTTTTTGCGTCTTCTTATTCTCTTGTTTCAATTTACTTATCACAATGTAAACAGTATACATTACTTAACTAATCTAATTTGTTGAATCATACAAAAAGTTATCGTAACATAATCACGAATTACAAGAAATCGCACTCGAAAAAAGTTAACTTGTTATTATTATGTTTAAAAGGTCTTTTATTTATAGGCCACTTTCGGCAGTGCATCGAAGTATATTAATGATCCACCGAATCGCTTGAATCCGTGATTATGTCAACAATTACTTTGTTTTATTAGGAAATAAAAAATAACGAAAAAATGGACTATTTCACTTTATGTCTTTCATAACGATCGTTAATCGTCTGAATTTTTCAATTAACTAGTATACAATTTACAGCTCTATTAATCTTATAAACAAATTTTACTTGTGTATTCTACACAGTGTAAGTTACAATACTTATCAGTTGTCGGGTTCAATAAATTTTCACGAATTCAATAGTTTCTTTCAATCATCAACGGTACATAGTTCTTAGATTTACTTCATAATAAATAAACATTAACATATACAGTATGTACATTTCTTACAGTTAGGTCGCAGTACAGTGATCATCTAACAATAATTATAATTGTTATTAATATTAAATATCATCAGTATATACATACATAACGGTAATCGAACATATTGTCAATGTTGACTCTTGATGAATCGACAAAGCCTATCATGAGTAATTATATTATATATATATATATATATATATATATATATTATTTTTATACTTAAAAATATTATGTTAACTATGTTATTGTCCATTCACCATATTCTCAATGGAAATTTGATTAGTTTGCCAAATTTATTATTTTTTGGTATCTAATTGAATATGTCTACCAGCTATATTTAATACCAATACTACTAAATTACGTCATATGAAAATCGCCTTTAAGAATTCTCGTAAAGGTTTTTTTGAATTGCTGATTAGCCAGTGCATAGCAGAAAGGATTCATGGGACTGTTCGCGTAACATAAAAAATATGAAAACATATAAAGATGTTCATTAGTGCAGGGTCGATGAGAACAAAAGCCCTCAACAAGCGCCATTACATGATAGGGAGTCCAACAAGCAACAAAAGCACCTAAAATAAATGAAATAGTTCTAAAAGCTTTTCTAGCCCGGTTTTCCGTTCGGGATTTTTGTCTACCAATAGTCGGGTCTTTTTTCTGTGTTTTAGCTTTCAAACGCCGACCAATCGACTTAACAAAATCACGTCGTGATCCACTGCTAGTTTCTATTTCTTTATCAGTGTCTTTTTTTTTTGACTGCCGCTTTGGATCCTGATTAATGACAGTCACCGCAACAACTGTTGGAAGAGCGCTGCTGGAGGAAGACACCTGCGGCTGATTGTTCAGTTTCTGATCAGTCGTTGTGCCGTTGTTAGACGAGTCGATGGATGTGCTTACAACTGTAGTGATTGGCTGACGTTTAATGTCTTCAACTTTTACAGTGACTTCTGTGTTAACTTTGCTAACAACAGTAGGTGATGTTTGCGAAGCTGCGTTGATCTGATGGGTGACGAAGACTCGCGGAGGGTTGGTTTGTGATGAGGCATGTGTTACTTGAGGATTGTGCGAAGGTTGTGTTGGGGTGGTGCCGGATTGGTGCTGAGCAGCAGCCCTGATCAGCGCTGCCTGCAGGAGACTAGTGTTGACTGCTGATGTTCCAGAGTGCCCGAGGACAGGAGATGATGGTGCCGTTGACAGAGGATTCGCTAGGCTGAGGGAAAAAGAAGATGGTGGACTTTCATAGGAAGGACTTGGTACAATAATTGAACTTTCATCCATATACCTCAAATCTGCGCCGTCCAGTCCAGTCATTATATCATAGGTCCCTGCTCCATGAGCCATTAATGATTTTGTCTTGTCAATAGACGATGAAGTTGACGTACTCTCTGATACTGATGGGCTACCTAAAAACTGCGTCGGAGGAGGAATGATGCTTGGTTGTCCAGATGATGAACTTTTATTCCTGATTTCGGATGGTGGTGTATCCTCAATTCGTTCAATGCTATGATTTAAATCAATTTCGTTCGATCGTAATGATTGCTCGGGTGTCAACGTTGTGCTGCTTTTTTCGTATTCGCATGTATTTTCTATAGTGTTTTCTATGTCTGCAAGGCTGTACTCTTGAATCTTGGGCAGTGTGTGAGCTTTTGAAGCTGAGTCTAGCAGCGGAGACGTAGGAGGCATCTTTTTCATCATAGGATTCATTTCAACGTTGATAGGAACCATCCCATTCAGTCGGTTGTTGCTGGTAAATACGTGGACAGCGCCTGCTTGAACCATCAGTCCAGCAATAGATGACCGCTTCCGCACTGCAGATTGCTGACTTGTCACAGCAACTGCACTGTCATCATCTGAATCGAATGCTGGACTGCTTGAGCGCTCAGACCTCTCCATCTCTGATGATGTCGTTCCCGATTTTAGTTTATTGTTTGAATCTTTGTTTTGAGACTGTTGTCCAGATAGCTTACGTCCAGTTCCGGTGTAATTGCCATCCTTGAGGTCATCGCCTGAACCTGGGGCATTATCAACGCTTGTGCTTGATGTGCCACCACTAGGATCTTTGGGTTTGTCTTGACTAAGGATTGTGCTTTGTGTCTTTGAGATTCCGATTCCGGCTGCTCGGCCAGCCATTCCTGACATTGCGCCTGCACTCAAAGCTACCATTGACTGCATCTTTCTTTGCTTAGCCTCACTTTTCTTTTGCATATCGTAAGCTGTTTTATAAATGCCACCATAGAGAATGAACAGTACTACGAGTGTCGTCCAGTAATAACCGATTATCAAGGCAGTGTTGAAGATAGGATCTTTTAAAAATTGAACAGCGCATTCATTTGGTTTGAGATTTCTGTAACCAACAAAGTGTTCCCATCCAAAAATACTTATGAAGAATAAGAGTGCTGGTATGATCCAGGTGATTGTCACCATCCATATAACGCGATTCTTAGTACGCCAACTCCGGTACTTGGCAGCAATCTTCACCGAGCAAAAACGATCTATTGTGATTAGTAGAACGGTGTATTGAGATACCAAGCAAACAGTATAATCTACAGAGAGCCATAAATCACAAAGAAGAGGACCAAGATCCCAGGAGCCCATCAGCACATATACTGTGTAGAATGGCATGGATACCGTACCTAGAAATAGACTATGTTAGCAAGCTAAATACATTTTTTATTGAACTATTAATACTGTTACCGATAAGCATGTCAGTGGCGGCTAATGATGCTATAAAGTAATTGCTCGGCTGTCTTATGGATCGATCGACAATAAAGGCCAGCAGTACGAGGATGTTCCCACCGATGGTTAAAACTATGCAAGCAGCAAGACACAGAGCTATTAAGACTGTTTGCCAAAGCTCAAAAGGTAATGTGTATTCATCCACTTCAAGCAAATCCTCTAAAAATAAAAAATATTTGTTATTTGTCTAAATTTCATTAGTAATTTTAGGAATTGTTCATTTTTTCTTTCGATAATATTGAAAGTTTATTCGAAAAACAATAAAATTATGTGTTAATTATCTAACTGATTGTATTCTCTAACTATAGTGGAAATGTTTATTTTTCATCAAAACACTAGTCTACAATGAAAGTTAATAACTTTTAGAAATTCATTGCACGCCTCATAACATTGAATTGTAATTAAGGATATTCGAGCATAACTAATCAGTTAAAATTTCAAGTGAACATCGATAAAGCATTCATTTATGTGTATACTTTTACAAAGCTTAAACTTTGAAAATTTACACAACAAATGATTCTTATTTTTTTTTATAAGGTCATGAGCGACTACTGTAGGGGGTAAACTTTTTGAGGTTGATCTCGTTTTATTTTTGGGGCTGAGCAGAATAATACATTTAAATATTGAAAATATTCATTGGTGTACGCCGGGTTCGAACCCGGTCCAATGCTTTGGTAAGCAAGGGCCGAATTCGATAGGCTACTGCGCGCCTAACATATGATTCTCTCGAGCTCCTATAAGTAGAATTAGCATTATTAGGCGTATATTTTTGAAATATTTAAACTTTTTACATAGCTGAAGTATCATGTTATATTTATGATCAACTCACCTAAATCGCTACATTCAAATAATCCTGTAAATTAACTGTAATATTTTATAAAAAGTATTTACGTGCTTGAAAAGTTAAAATTAGAGTCTAACAATTAAAAGCTGTAAGTTATACCAACAAAATCAATAAGTTCGAAAAGTCCCTTATTACCTGACTGCGATGCATTAGTGATGTTGGTGATATTATTCCAAAACCAATCTGGAAGTAGTTCACTGTATTCACCACTGAAGCGTGAATCATTAGAATCCAGCCAAGTGCCATTTAATTGGATACATTCTGCACTCATATGATCTGATATATATCGACATATTTGTTTCGGTTGTTTCTGAACCCGCCTTAAACAAAAAGTAAACAGACAGAAATGAGAAACAAATAAAAAAAAAAAGAAATACATTTTTTTCTGGTTTCATTTGTGCTGTGGCAATATTTAAAGTTTTAGAGTAAAAGTTGATAGTACTTTTCGCTGTGAGCTCATTGCGATGATATTGCAACTCAAAAGTTAGTTATGACTCACGTGATATAGATATATATTGATATATATTGCAAGTAGAACAAAATATGGAGAAATGCTAGTGAGATTAGGAAGAAAGTACCAACCCCAATGTATATTTCCCGTTTTCCCAAGTGACAGCAACCTCTTCATGTATCTGATACTATAGTATAGCCTATGTTATACATGTATAATAGAACGACGGTATATTGAGTCAAAGACATGAATGCACCAGCCTTAAAACAATGCTTTTCAAATCAGTAATGCCTGAATGAGATTGCTTATATGTATACATCAATTCGTATATATAGAATATAATTGTGAACTGTTTTATGGTTTGGTTTTCTTTAAATTCAACTGTACCGCATATAAACTACAGTGATTTTTTCTATTGTCTATGAATAAGCTTTATAAAATTGACTATTGTGAATAACACATCACTAAAAATATTAATTAGTTAGTTTTGAATTGTTCGCTAATTATAATTATTCAAGTTATGTGAAGAACTTATGAATTGTTGATGCTCAGCTACCGTCGGAAAGGATATCAATGCTGCCGGTTGACATTATGGGGCAATTGAACCACTCGACTTGAAAAATTAGGAAAACGGTTGACCCTGAAGGCCATCCCTGCAACTTTCCGCCAATTCTATACCTAGCGTTTGAAAATGCAATTATGACGTTTTTGAGCTCTTCGAGCTCAAAAATACAATTTGTGTGTTACTTTGAGATCTCCGAGCTTAAAAAATAGCTTTTGTAAGCTTTTAAGTTCTTCGAACTCAAAAGTTTGATAAAACACTATTTTTTGAATTTTTAAATTGCAATAACTTTTGAATGAATGATTTTCACGCGGTTGGTGGCATTCGACGTAGTTTTCTAAGCTTCATGGAGAATCTTCAAGTTTAGATTGATAGAATGAAAAATTTCGAAGTAATTCCAAAAAAACACTTTTTTCGGTTTTCTTTCGTTAACGACAACTCACGAACGAACCAACCGATTTTAACCGGACTGACGGCGATCGACGTGGTTTTTTAATGTTGAAAGCTGATTAATTTTTGGAATTGATCGGTAAATCCGTTTAAAAGTTATTCCAAGAAAACCACTTTAAAAAAACATTTTTTTTGTAGTTTTTTTGCAATTCCTCAAAATCTACCGGTCCGAATCGTTCCAAAGTATATTCAAAATCTAAGTTCAGTCAAGCTCTTTCGAATGGCACCAACCGCGATCAAATCGGTCAAGCCGTTCAAAAGCTACGAGAGGTTTACATATATCCATACACACACACACACACACACACACACACACACACACACACACACACACACACACACACACACATACATATATACATACATACATACATACATACATACATACATACACTAAAGACGCAAGAATCATGGAGAAAGGCTGGACCAGTATATCGACTGAGTGCCCTACGAGTAGCTAGCACCTTTCGCACAATATCAGAGGATGCAGTGTGTGTTATTTCCGGTACTCTGCCTCTCAGAGTCCTAGCAGAGCAAAGACGGAACCTATATCAGCGAAAAAGGTCAACCACACTGAGCCCTGAAAAACTTAGAAGCGAAGAACGGCAACACAGCATCGCAAGATGGCAACAAGAGTGGAACGCTTCAGATAAGGGTCGGTGGACGTACCGTCTCATACCTCGGATTGATGAGTGGTTCAACCGGAGTCACGGTGAGATCAACTATTACTTAACGCAGATGTTATCAGGACACGGATGTTACCGGAAGTATCTCCACCGCTTTAAGCATGACGATACCCCAGAGTGCCCGTCCTGTCCAGGGGTCAATGAAGATGCGGAGCATGTCTTCTTTGTGTGTCCACGTTTCAACCAACAGCGCAATGAGTTAGAGAAGATTCTGAAGAAGAGAACCCAACCAGAGTCAATAGTAGAGGCAATGTTGTCGTCAGAAGCTGCCTGGAACGCCACAAGCATTTTTGCTACAAAAGTGCTTACTGAGTTGCGATCCATTGAGAGGAAAAGAGCGAAAGACCGAATCTAAAAGGAAGAAATAACATCTTAGCCACCAGAAGGAAGAGCGGCAGCTAATTCCTCCCCCCGCGAAGAAATGCCTTACGGCGGTACCATGGGGGATTAGAGGATAGAAGAGAAAGGGGTTTAGGGTTTAGTGGGTAGGGACGTCAGTGTCGAGTTTTAGTATGACGCTGCGTCGAGTCGCCACATATCCGGGCCAACATCTATGCCTAGAATCCGTAAAAAGGATTCCCCCCCCAAAAAAAAAAACATACATACATACATACATACATACATACATACATACATACATACATACATACATACATACATACATACATACATACTAGAGTGGTCCAAAAAAAAAAGTTTTTTGCCTATCATCTTAAAAGCTTCTCTAAGGCATAAAAAAAATTCCCTTCAAAGCGCAGCTTGATATTTCAATTCTTCATGAAGCTCAATGAATTTTTATTTTCCCATTTAAATAACACGTAAAAAAATTTTATTTACGTTTTCATCCGGTAAAACTACGAAAAAAAAATTTTTTTATATTTTTCGTCAATTATTCTTGTAGAAAATTTAATTTTCGACAAAAAAGTACTGAGGTAGTTTTTTCGTAATCTTAACGAGTAAAAAGTTATTGAGCTTTAAATACTTGCACAAAAGAAAATTTAAACGAAGATAGTTTCAAAGCAACTTTTCGAAAACTCGTTTGTTAACTGCATGTATTTATTTCAAAATTTATCAAACTAGACTGTCTCTAATATAATTAACACATATCTTTTGGTGAAGTATTAACTAAGAACTATGAATAATTTCTCTCATTACAATTTCGATATTTTTTTCTATGATTTTTTAAAATTGAACTTGAATTTCATTACGGAATCTGAATCAAGAGCAAGCTAGTACTTCCGGATGTATACTGAAGTTATTTTTTTTTTATTTAAGAAAAAATAACAAACATAAAATAAAAAATTTGCTATTTTCTATCAATATGTAATATTCTCACAAATTTGATGTATATACATTAGAAATTAACTTTCTTTGTTGCTGTAAGATGGACAGCGGTGATTTAGGTCCAACTCACTTCCTCCCTCCCCGGCGCTGTGTTAGTAGCCCTGGACGGGGTGGTAGTAGCATAAATAAAAAAAAAAAAAAAGGAAAG